CGAACCGTGAATTTTCTCTATCGTTGCACCGTTGCACCCCTAATATACTGTATGTAAATATATTAGTACAGCTAAGAATTAGCTAAATGCACTTACAGGTTATGATAGTACATACCTGATATTTACTGAGTGAGTGCCAAGTGCCAGGTACCATAATGTACCCGGTACTGCAGTGTACCTGGTAMTACTGTGTACCTGGTACTTGATTTGTTGTACATTTGGTTTTGATGAGAAAGTCATACATCATTTTTTATGGCAGCACATGGAATTTACACTTTCCATTTTTCTGCAATGAACTAAATACTTAAAGACTATGTATCTGGCATTTACCAGGTATGTAATCTGTAATTACTTTACACATACCAAGAATATACACTGCAAGTATCAGGTATTAGCTGACACTTAACAGGTTGTAATGTTAAAGTTTTGAAAAGCATCCCAAAAGACAAAACACAGAGGTACTTACTGGTTACATACCTGGTATTTGCTTGGTAAGTATAAGGTTCCAGGTACTGTACCTGGTACTACAGTGTACCTGGTACATCTGGTTTTGATGGAAAACTCATACTTTTTTATGAGGCAGTTTGTAAAAGTTTACTAGTACAGTTTTTGCTCCAGTAGCTACAGGTACATACTGTACATGGTAAGTACCATGTAAGAACGTACCTGAAACATACCAGGTTCATATCAGGTAAGTACTTCATACTTACCCTGTGATAGAATGTGTATTCTGTAGAATGCTAAATTTTTAAAAGAAAATATAAAAACACATTATTGCAGCTTTTTAATGTTAACAGTGATAAAATGTGATGTTTTTACATGATCTTGACTTGAACACATCGTCATGATGTAGGAGGAATGAAAGGATGGAAAAGGGCATGGTCACTGTGAAGTGCTCAACAACTAGTCTTACCACTGTTGATTAATGACACGAGACATAAAGAACATKTATTTATGCTACAAGAACAAAAAAATAAGATTCAGAACATTTATTGAAGTAGTGCTCAGTGTGAGTCAGTTTACAGATATTTGTAACGTTTTAGGGCACAAGATGAAGGTCTCCTTGGTCCTTCAGTAGAAACTTAAATGTTTGCTGCATTTGGATCAAGTTCACTGCTTCTTTCAGTCTATGAGAAAATACAAAACAATGAATGCACGGCAGCTAAAGTTTGCTATAAAATGCCAAAGGGAGAGTTGGATTACTTTAACTACTGAAGCAGTCAAATCAATGGGTTTGGAAAAATATGAAATTCTCATGGAGTCAGTTGACTGACTTCTCTTCTMAGCTGTATACTTTTACACCTAACAGAGCTTTTCTAGTGTCTGAAGTTCTGTCATTACAAACCTTTGATGTGGAGCTGTTTCCTTCTTGTGGACAGGTGTGGCAGCCCTGGACTCTGAGGTGTCAGGAAAGATTGGCCTCAGAGCTGTTGTTTATTACTTCTCCACAACTATCATTGCTGTTATCCTGGGTGAGTTTATCTTTTTTTTGTTGTCAAAACCTTTCGAAACCCTTTGATTCATTTTCATTTGAATCTGAATGGACGGGTTTTTCCGCAGGAATTCTTTTGGTGATGACCATCAAGCCGGGTGTGTCACAGGAAGCTGAGACCATCGACCGGACTGGGACCACTCCCAACGTCACTACAGTGGACACAATCCTGGACCTCATCAGGTGAATGTTTCTGATGTGTGAAGCTGCAGACACTTCTGTCATATGACACAAAATGTGTGTTATTTCAAGAAGAGTCAGCCCTATAGTTCTCTACAGTGCTATGTGTCTAAAATAAAACCCTTAAAGCACTTTTCAAGACACTCAAAGATGCTGTAGAAAAATAGGATTAAAAACAACAACAGTAGAAACAAACAATCAGATAGATCATTAAAAACTATTTAAAAAAGGTGGGTCTTGAGTAGGGATTTAAAAGTGAGAAGGTCAGTCAGAACAATCACGTATGGTTTGAGGGAGTGAGTTTCAGAGGGTGGGGGCGGTGGGAGAAAATGCTCTGTCACTGTCCTGTAGGGGAGGGTGAAGAGATTTGCATTAGAGAAGCGAAGGGAACGGGATGGGATATGGAGGAGCAGGTCAGAGAGGTACGAGGGGGCCAGATTATGGAGGGCTTTGAAGGAGATGAGGAGTATTTTGAATTTGATGCGCTGAGAGGTGGGGGGGCCAGAAGAACAGGGGTTATGTGGTCACAGGAACAGGTGTGGGTAAAGAGGCAGGCAGTAGAGTTTTGGATGAGCTGACAGACCTTAGTAATAAAGTTCTGATGAGTTCACTCGCTTTGGGTTTCACTTTACTTTTCTTACAAGACCACGTTGATCCGGAAAGACCAGAATGATTCTGCCAATGACCCAGGAGTTTTGGGGCGCAGATTAATCCACCAGCAGAATTTTATCATTCAGAGAAATGTTTCTTTTGATCATGAGCCTTTTGCGACGCATGTGGACCTCTGGCAAATACTCTTTCAGCCGCCTCTTCCAAAAGAGGTCAGACTTATATTGGACCTTTAAACCAAGTTTGTATTTTTACAAATTCTGTCTGCATCTTCTCCGACTCCCTCTCCATTATATATCTTTATCCAAACAAAAAAATGTTGTATCATCTGCAAATAAAACACAGCAAAAAAGCCCTGACACATTTACCAAATCATTCACATATAAAATAAATAATTTTGGACCAAGTACATTACCCTGAGGAACTCCACGTGTGATATTACAGATTTCAGGTCTTGCATCATTTATCTGTACAAACTGTTTCCTGTTTTTCAGATAGCTAGATACTCACTGTAATGCTTGTCCTCTTATCCCGTATTTATTTAGCTTTTCAAGAAGAATACCGTGGTCAGTGGTGTCAAATGCTTTCTTTAAATCCACATAAATCCTAACACAGTACTGTTTATGATCAACAGCAGTTGTTTTGTTCAATCAATTCAATGAGAGCCATTGATGTAGAATTATTTGTTTAAACCCATACTGATTATTACTTAAAATATTTTGTTTATCAATAAATTGATTTAATCTAGTCAAATAATTTCTCTAAATTTTATGAGAACTGTGGCAACAAGATTAGTCTATAATTTTTAAACATACATTTCTCACATTTTAACTATTCTCGTAATATTATGACTATTCTTGTAATATTGTGACCTTTTTATCATAATATTATCAA